ACCCATTTCTATAATCAACGTTTTATTTTATTTATTTTTTGTTGAATTAGTAAGATGAACTCAATGTTAAATGCCTTCGATGCAACCACTGCAAGTATTTTCGCCCGATCTTGACCAAAGCAAGAACTGGTTTGCTTTATCAAAGGATCTGTGTGGTGCTCCTCCCAGTAAGTTCTGCCAGTTTGACATTTTTAATTATTTCTCTGGAGAGGTTACTTCCTGTATGATTGGAAGTCTAAAAAACAAAGATGGCCAACCGATCTCCGCAGAGATTTTCAACGCAGGAGTGAAAGCGGTAGCTAACAATGTGTATGTTGGAACTTATTTCGCTTTAATTGCAGGGAATTTACGCCGACGGAGCATCGATGATTCTACGTTTTTGAAATCAGAAGGATTCCTAGCGATCAAAGCCCTTATTAACCAAAAGGGCTTTCATTCACACCCAAWTTGTAATTCGGAACATTCCAACACCAAACTTTCTTTCATAACGCAATCAAAAGTCTACGGCAGCAATAATTCTGCACCAGCAATACCAGAAACACCAAAAGGTCAGTCACCAAATGCCTCAGATGCCGGAAGCTCTCCGAAATTATACCTATCGCCTTCAAATTCGTCTTCGTCTTCCTCTTTGTCTTGCTCTTTCAAGGAAATAGAGGAACACGATTACAAGCCAGAATATAAAAAAAGAAAGATCAGGGAAAAATGTGAAAACATTATGAAAGAAATTCACAAGATTTGCGATGACAATRGCGAAACGTTRTGCAATGTTTTGTCGCGTTGTTGTGTTCTTTCCAGGGGTGAACTTCCAAATAGGAGTAGGAAGATTATCCAGGATGTCATTTATGAAGTTGAGAACACTTTTGGAATAAAGAAGACCCTTCAGGAATGCATACCAAAAGAAATCGTCGAAAAGCAAGTCCAGGCTATGACTGTACCAGACTGGCAGCTTCTCTTGCTAAAATTGCAAATCCCAATTTCGGATGATGGATGGCAAAAAATCTTAAATGTCACTGAGTTAGGAAAAAAAGGTGTAAGTTCTAATCTTGACCAATCATATCGTTTGTTTTCACTACGTTCCTTGACTTGACTCCACGAATTGTTAGATGGTTACTTTATATATTCATCATTCGTCATTAACAATTATGTCGTCGAAGCAAGGGCGCCAGGGCAACCATAACAGTTTTGAATGATATTACAACGATTGTATTTGTTATAACTTTGAGTATCTTAGAAATTCACTTATCTGACTTCTTTGTGTATATCTTGAGTGTATTCAGAATTCCCTTGGATACATAGATAGATTTTTGGCGATTTGTGGGCAATTTTCTCCACTCCTAAAGGTCAAAAGCTGTACGTGTTTATTTCAGTACGCCACGTTATTCAACGGCCGTTAGTTACGTACTGGTATGTACCGTCCGCTTATGCAACCACGCGATGTAATCTACGTCACTAATATCGTTAATATAGTTAAGGAATTTACCCTAAGTTCACTAAAATACCCCGGGGTGGGCAACWAGGCCGCTTGCCATTGTTCTCTCGTCTGCTGGGTTAATCCCATTATTCTGACATGTGGGGTGGTCATCTATTTACACAACGATGACAGATACGACTGCAACA